ATTAGCCTGAGCAAGAGCAAGATCCCATCTTTACTAAAAATAGAAAAATTAGCTAGATGCTAAGGTGGGTGCCTGTAGTCCCAAGTACTCGGGAGGCTGAGGCATAAGGGTCCCTTGAACCTAGGAGTCTAAGGTTGTCATGGGCTATGATGACATTATTACACTCTAGCTGGGGTGACAGAGTGACACTATATCTCTCAAAAACAAAAGGACTAAATTAAGTGATCTATGGCTCAGTGCCTGTGGCTTAAGCAGCTAAAGCGCCAGCCACATACACCTGACCTGGCGGGTTGGAATCCAGCCTGAACCCACCAAACAACAACGACGGCTGCAACCAAAAAGTAGCTGGGTGTTATGACAGGCACCTGTAATCCCAGCTACTAGGGAGGTGGAGGCAGGAGAATCACTTGAGCCCAGGAGTTGGAGGTTGCTGTGAGCTGTGATAACACAGCACTCTACCTAGGGTAACAGCTTTAGGCTCTATCTCAAAAAATAAAAAATAAAATAAATAAAGTGATCTAAAAGAAAATACAACCAGAGTTTAGAAAAACATGACATTAAAAAAAAGGACAGCCAGGCAAGGTGGTTCACACCTGTAATCCCAGTACTCTGGGAGGCCGAGGAGGGAGGATTACTTGAGTTCAGGAGTTTGAGATCAGTCTAAGCAAGAGGGAGAGTCCATCTCTACTAAAAATAGAAAAATTAGCCAAGAGTGGTGGCAGGTGCCTGTAGTCCCAGATATTTGGGAGGCTAAGGCATGAGGACTGCTTTGAACCCAGGACTTTGAGGTTGGTCTGAGCTAAGCTAATGCTATGGCACTCTAGCCTGGGCAACACAGTGAGACTCTGCCTTAATTATGAAATTAGTTTCAAGAAAAAGTAAATTAATATAGATTAAAGAAAAAAGGAAACAATTGAAGAGTGACAAATCAGGCTGTCTGACTTTGTATGCATGAGCCATCAGATTCCTAGAGAGTCCTTTCTGCATTTATGATCACAAATAGCACTAAGTACAAAAGAGTCCCAATGTTCTGTTAGTTAGCCCTGTCTTCCCCTTCCTTCCAAAGTGGGACTTTCTTCTTTACCTTGTTCCTGTTGGACTGGAAGTTCCTGAGATTCACACCTTAGCTGGGCTTCTATCGACTGGAGAGACATACTGGGTTTTCGTTCTGATCCTAGAGGTACTGTCTCCTGTAAGAATATTTCTTGTTCCCCAGGGTGGACTGAGACCTAAGGAAAATGATATATTGCTGACAAACCCATTCTGATAACAGAAAACAAGAGTATACTATACTCAGCCTGTTGAAGCTTGAAATAACCTTCTTCCCAGATATTCATCTGCCATAATCCTACCCATCGGTCAAGGCCCATGTAAATGTTACCTCCTCTGGGGAATGTTCCCTTCCCCAGCTGTAAGTAATTTTCCCTCTTGTTAACACAGTATGTTGGCTGTGCCATTTTTACTACTTTTTCTTATGCTCAAAGAAGTAGAAAAGGCAAAGTGAGAAAAAGAAAACATAAGAGAAAAGAAAAAGAAGGTAAAAAGAGGCAGAAAGGAATAAAAAAGAACTTATGGGAAAATAAAACTTAAGTGAGAAAGAATAGAAAGAAAGGGGATAAGTAAAGGGAAAAAAATGGAGAGAAATGATAGCAAGAAAGGCAGAAAGAAACAAAGAAGAAAGAGGAAGAAAAGAAAGAGAATGAGAAAAGGAAGGAGAAAGGAAGAAAAAAGGAAAGGAGAGAAATCTCTTCCCTATTCATTCCAGAAGCTGTTTCCAACATATTCTCTGCCCTTCTGAGGTGCCCATCTCACTTCTAAAGAGATGATCTTAATTTTTATTTATCTAAGATCACATCTCAAAAATCATCCACCCTTCACTTTATCTCCAACCTCATAATCTTCTTTCCTCTAAAGAGAAAGATGTCTTCTCCTTTTCAAGACTCACATTTCTACTTTTGCTTTCAATCTCATTCTTTTGTTTCCTTCTGACCCTTGCTTTCTCAATTAACTAATTTCTTTAGCAATTTTAGCCTTTCTGTGGCTTTCATTCCTCAATAGACCCATTTCCTCTCGCATTTAAAAGCAAGGATTTAGAGTCACACCAATTATTTGGTCTCTTAGTAGCTCTGTAAACTTGAACTAGTAAGAGATTATACATATCACATACATAAAGTACCTAACTCCCAGGCTAGGCACACAACATGTCCTCATATCATTCCTCTATTCCCTACAAAGGCTAAATTTTGTAAATAAGAAATCACTACACACTGCTTCTATTTCTCTGTATGGTTTTCATTTTGTAGCCTATCTCCAGAGTAAGAGCCAGAATCTAGCAGAATATACAGGATACCAAATGCACAGAAAAAGGTATTTTGATATTTCAAATTTGAGAAATGAAAGGAAGAAAAAAAAACCAGCTAGTACATTAAGCTGTCCCTTCTATCCCTGGTTTTTAACTAAGTCTCAGAAATCAAGCTGTTAGCTCCATTAGCTGCTCCCAGCATGGAACGGTTGGCAATACAAAGTCAATATGTTTAAAACCCAGCTACTTTTGCCTGTGCCTAAAAATCTCATTCTTTTTTCTAGTACTCTTCCTACCTCCCTGGTTACTCCTCCTGTTCCCACTCCCTTGATAATCTAATCTTTGATAATGGAATACCATGCATATTCTGAAAAGTACCAAGTTTATATGTCTAGCACCTATGCCCTCCACTGAATTCCAACTCTTTATATCCAGTTGCTTGCTCAAGTTTTCTTCTTTGTTTCTACTCTACTAAGAATCTCAAAATTAATATGTCTAAAATTGAACTTTTGATTCCTGTCTCTCCACCCTATGCCTACTACTTTCCCAGTCTTTACCATCTCTGAGAATGACAAATCCATTCTACCTTATGTTCAGAATAAAAACTCTGGCACATTCCTTAACTTACTTTCTCTCACATCTCACATACATTAAAAACAAATCTGTCAAGCTCTACTTTCAAAATACATTCTGAATCCAATCACATTTTACCATTTCCACTGCTACTATCCTAGTCCAGGGTACCAATATCTCTTTGCTCAGATCATTGCTTACATCTTCAGCCCTCCTAAAATGGTTTCCTTGCTTCTACCTTTCACCCTTATGCCTCCCCAACCCTCATACCAAACCTACTGAAGAATTTTCTCAACTTAGTAGTCACAGTGATTATCTTAAAATTTAAGTCAGATTACACCCCTCTTCTGCTCAAAACGCTCCTGTAACTTATCATCTCAGAACAAAATCCAAAATATTTATAATGGCTTACAAGTCCCTACATAATATGATCTTCTTATAACTTTTTTGTTGTTGTTGTTCTTGCAGTTTGGCCAGGGTGGGGTTTGAACCTGTCACCCTGGGTATATGAGGACGGTGCCCTACTCCTGAGCCACAGGCACCGCCCTTGACTTTTATTTCCTCCTTGACAAACACACCTCTACCATGACAAGCACATTCTTCCTTTACGACCTATCCATTTACTACTAATCTTTCTGCCAGAATGCTCTTATCCTTTATAGCTGTATGGCCTGCTCTTTTAATTCAGATTTCTGTTCTAAATAGCATCTACTTGAAAAGACTTCTGTGACAAGTCTCCTGAAAATAGCATAATCCCCATTTCCTTTACTATATTCCTTTTCTCTGCTTTTACTGTTGTTACTATTGTTTTAACAGGATTTATCATTACCTGACATCTGTATTTCTTGATTTTTAAAAATTATTGTCTGTCTCTCCTCAGTAGACTAGAATCTACTTGAGAGCACCAAACTTCTCTGATTTGTTCACTGTTGCATTCACAGTGCCTAGAACGTACTTAACGTGTCTGCTTATTGATATCCTACAGTCTTTAACTGTTAAGAGTGTTTCCATTACACTAGTCTTTCAAGCTCCAATTTCTAGGGCTTAGCCTAGAATAGACTGCTCTGTAGAGTTCTCTTCCAAGGATTCTTCCTTCTTTCTAGGTCTAATCTGTCACCATTATGATTAAATCTTACATAAGACATGAGCCATCCTTTGCGATTACATTTTCATGACCCTATTTCAAACTTAGATCTTTTTGCCACATGCTCCTTCCCTCTTCACTCAATTTTGTATCCCAATGTTAGATTACACTTCTTGTTTTATTATTTCATTAAATTTCATATTTTTTCTTCTTTTTTTGGAGACTGAGTCTCACTCTGTTGCCCAGGCTAGAGTGCTCTGACATCACCCTAACTCACTACCTCAAACTTCTGAGTTTGAGTAATCCTTTTGTCTCAGCCTCCCTAGGAGCTGGGACTACAGGTGCCATACAGCACACAGGCTAATTTTACTGTTTTTAGTAGAGACAGGTTCTCACTTTGCTCAGCTGGTTTTGAACCTCTAAGCTCAAAGGAGCCTCTCACCTCGGTGTCCCAGAGTGCTAGGATTATAGAGTTTCATACTCTTTATATGGAGGTTTCCTAGACGTGTTCTATTGACATGTTGGGCCAGATAATTCTTTTGTCATCTCAGGCATCGTCCTTGCCCTCTTTATACACTAGAGCAGTGATTTTCAACCAATGTGCTGTGGCACACTGGCAGTGCTGTGAGAGGATCTCTCCGCAAAAATTTTTAAAGATCATTAAATTATTTTCGAAAGAAGTTCAAAACACAGTAGGTATATTTTTTTAACTTTTTTTTTTGATCAACATAACTCAAATGTGCCACTGAAGTTTAACTACAGGTTCGAGTGTGCCATGAGATAAAAAAGGATAAAAAACAGTGCACTGGAGGCTAATGGCACCTCCCTCACTATGAAAAACAAAAATGTTTCAACACATTGCCAAATGCCCTCTGGGGCACAAAATTGCCACTGGTTGAGAACCACTATCCTATAGACAATTAAAACAAAAGAAAACAGTTTTGCATAATTTGGTTTTCTTTTACATTTTAGGATTAATAAAGCTCATTTAGACTCAAGGAGAAAAGGTTAGGAGCCTTTGTCTTACAGAACAAAATCTAAACTCTGGAAGTTGTCAAGTTGATTCTCTAACTCAACTGTCCTTCTCAAAACTCACCTTTCTAACCTAAGTAGGCTTTCTACTTCTCAAAGAAATACGGAATCCTCCTCTGTCTCACCCCCATCTTTCCACACTACTTCTACCTCTCATTCCTCTGAGGTGACTTTCATTTCTCCATCTTTGAATATTTTAATGGAGAGCCAGGGAAGGAGATGTATCTGCAAAACCTTATTTCTTGTTTGTATTGTGCAACAGAAAGTGATGCCCCTTAGAAAAGGCTGCTTCCCACCCTGTTACCTTTGTCTCTAACACCTTCTCTCTGGCCTAGAAGTCTTCTGTTTCCACAAACCCGAGCAGCATGTTCATCAAACAGAATTTTGTAGCTTAGTACAGAAAAACACAATCCCACTGCAGAAGAGTTAGGACCATATTAACTAATTTTCCATAAAACCAGACCCCTTTCTGACATACCAAAGTATCAAGAACATGCTTAATGAAATAATGTTATATTTCACTCTGGTCTCCCAGAAATCCATAATTTATCTTTTCTCAGACAGAAATCACATTTTCTTTCTCACCTGATCTCCTGTCTCATCCAGCTCTCTCTCTAAATCCTCCAGCACAGTCACCACTTCCTCCCCACTCTCTGGATGCTGCTCCTGCACCCAGGCCTGGAGCTCCTCCGGCAGGATAGTCAGGAATTGCTCCAGCACCAGTAGCTCCAGAATTTGTTCTTTGGTGTGTGTCTCTGGCCTCAGCCACTGATGGCAAAGTTCTCGAAGTCGGCTTAAAGCCTCACGGGGTCCAGATGTCTCCTGGTAGCAGAATTGCCTAAAGTACTGTCGGAAGACCTCTCTGCTATGGGTGTTGTTTTTTTGCAGGTTCTGATCCTGTCTGGCAGTAAACTTCTTCTCTTCTTCCTCCTCCTTTATTTTTACTTCCAAAAGTTCGTCCTGGTCTTTGTAGGCTTGTATATCCCAAGCAGATGCCATCATAGCTGTGCACAATTTTTAGCAGTGCTTCAAGTACGATGTCCCCTGATAAGTTTCTTCCTGAGTGTACCTGATGAATAAGCCATCATTATCAAGACAAATTACACCATAAATAAAAACTGCAAATTCTACATAGTTAAGTATAATCTTTTAAAGTCTGCTTCCAGGTTAACATACTATACTAATAGAAATGCTTTAACAGAAGACTTAAAAATAAACTAATTTAAAGAGAAAGACTAAGAAAAGATAACTAGTTGCTTCAAGACTTTAAGAAGATAGCATAGGAAATATTTCTAATTAGTCCTAAGATAAAGAACAAGTAAATTGAATAAAACTAACATGTAGAACAAGGGAATAATAATAAAAGTTTGAGACACCTTGAGTGGTTGCTTTCTTTATTTTTTAAATGCCCGGATGTCTGGTGGAACCTGTGAAATCATAAAAGCGGCAAAGTCACATTAATTTATTTCTTCGGGACTTAATCTCTCTGCTCCGCACTCGGAAGTAGGCCCAGGAAAGGGTGCCTAGGACGCAGGTCGGCGTCTATGACTCAGAAATGTCTGGAGGTGCTGAACCGTAGAAACATACATGGCCCGAGGCCCAAGACAAACCCAGGAACCCCTACCGCAGAAACTGGGAGCTGGTCCCTCACCCCAGGGCTCCAACTCTGCGAGGGGCCAGGGAACGGACCGTGGGAAGGGAAACCTGTCTGCGGACACGCGTGGGCAGAAAAGGTCCTAAAGGGCCCAGGCCGCGGGAACACAGAAATCCCCCGCCCGCCCGCCGCGTCCGGAGCTCGCTCAGCCGCGGCTCCTACCGGCCAGCAGAAGATCCCACCTGGGTGGGGAAAGGGTGAGGGCTGGAAACCTTTCAGGACGCGAAACTCACCGAGGGCGACCCACAAAGGCCGGAAGCGGCTGCGAAGAGCTGAGGACCCGCAATCCCCGCCTGCGCGGGGCGCACTTCCGGGGCTGCTCTAGGAAGGGAACGGAAGGGGCTCTCAACTCGGTAGATTTTCCGCACGCCCAAGAGAAAAGAGGCTTAGGCTTTGTAGCTCACAGGTGCATCGACTTTGTCTTTCTCCTTCTCCTTACCTGGCCATTGTCCCCACTTCTCCCGCCCTACTGGGTGGTCGAGGCTTGTAGAGCTGATCTGAAGATTGGGAAATCCCGTGTTTCTCCACTCTTCACTTGGGGCTTCTGTAGCTCTGAGGTTCGCAGTTCCTCAAAGGGATATTCGGGGTGCCTCAAAGAGATGTCTTTCCTGACTCAGCAACGCTTCACGATGGTGTGAAGGGAGGTTTGCTACACCGGCTTCTCAAGGGCCAAACTGCTAGTTTCTTCGGGCTTTCTCACCGTCAACGATTCTTTTGATGTTCTCTTATGTGTTGATGATATGAAAACCCCTGGAGTTCAAAGGAAAAACTATATAAAAAAGACAACATAGGAAATAAGCAGGATATAAAATTAACACAAAAATCAGTAGCCTTCATATATACTAATAACTAGGGACAACCACTTACAAGATATAATGGAAGACAAGACCATATTCATAATAACAACAAAAAAGAGAAAATACTTAGTAATAAACAAGAAACGAACAAAGTGTGTATGGGGAAAACTTTAAAAACACTCCTGAAAGCCCAAGTTTGAACTTAAACAAATAGAAAGTAGGGGCGGCGCCTGTGGCTCAGCTGGTAGGGCGCTGGCCGCATATACTGAGGGTAGCAAATTCGAATCCGGCCCCGGCCAAACTGTAACACAAACAAATAGCCGGGCGTTGTGGCGGGCGCCTGTAGTCCCGGCTACTTGGGAGGCTGAGGCAAGAAAA